ATCAATCGCGCTGCTTCTTTCAACTTGTCTGGTTATGACTGTAATCCTTACAAGTGTCCCAGGAACAGCGTTTGACCATATCTTGGAAAAATACAGCAAAAGAAATCTAGAAAACGGCTCTGAGGTCAAAAGTGTGGGACCTCAGTTAGAGGGTGTCCTATACTGCGCTGTGATTGGCCAGCCGCGTGGCTTAGCGAAGGGTCAATTGTAAAGTGTTGCCAAACGACCGTCTTCCAGTGATAAACTTTAGCAGAAGGAGGTGCTCAGCTCTGCCGCAGGGCTTAAACCTCAGGTGTGTTGGAGAGAGACGGGCGGAGGACGAGAGGAGGAAAGAGGAGGAGGAAGAAGCAGGCTGTCAGAAGTAGGTCATTTCTCTGCGTAGGAACAAGAACAAAACAACATCAAATAAACCGATCCTGTGTCTCTCCCTCTCTCTGGTTCGTCATCGGTGTCCTCGCGTCTCTTCCTCCCGCCTGTGTGTGCGTGTGGTAGAAAGCTGTCCAAGTCATCACGCTATGACAAAAGCTTCTGATTAATAAGTTAACAGGCAGAATCTCTCCTCCATCTCCCCTCGTCTCCTTCCTTTCCTCCCTTTCCCCTCTCGTTTCCCAAAGATCATAGAGGTGAATTCCCTCTGAGGTTTGAGGAGTTTAAAATGATCTCCACTCTGTTGTCGCGGCAGACGTTTTAAGGTTTGAGACTCGGGAGAATCCGATTTAAAGCCGAGGACGTCAAGATAATCCAGATTTTTAGTCCCTAGTTTGGGTCAAACTTTTTTAAAACACAGAAGCCTACATTTCCCATAATGCATCTCAATTGTTTTGCATGTATAGACTGTAGAAAAGAAGTGGGCGGAGTCACCGTGATGTCACTGTGATTGTGGACTATTGATGGTGCTGAAGCCTCGAGTTTTTGGCATTTTGGCCGTCGCCACCTTGTTCTTTTGGAACCACACGTGACCATATGAGGAGGAGACGGTGGCGCTAGCTAGCTTGGTTAGCAAGGTTAACTGTGATATTAGCTGGGATGCTAATTTTGGCTAGCGACAAACGGGCTCAAAACAAAATGTACATACCGGAAAAAATTGACAGCCGACTCCTGATAAGCTTTTTCAGCGGCGCTGGTTAAATGTACACGAACGCCATGATAGCCCCGCCCTAAAGCCTCCCCTGCTTCCTGGTCTCTGTTCCTCTAAATGGGACCATAATGTACTAAATGAACATCATGCTGTGTTGAAAAAGACTTGAAACTAGCGACTGAGACCAGAAACTCATCAGGAAAGTGTTTACTGAGGGAATAAATCAGCTGACAAGTAGAAACATTTTCTCACAGACTTCTATACAATCACACTTCTTTCTGCAGCCGCTGGAGTCGCCCCCTGCTGGCTGCCGGAGAGGACGCAGGTTTAAGGTGCTTCCACATGGCTTCACTTTGCAGACCTGGAGGTTCCTTACTTGGTTTCATTAGACCCTCCCTGCCCAGTACAAGTTCGTCCAACTCCACACCCTCAGTTTGTACCGCAGACAGTCTGTCTTTAATTTGTGGTCGCCAAGCGAAGATAAACTACCTAAAAGGTGACACTATAAAGTCTTAGTGTTTATTAATAACTCCTCCTGTGGACACCTGTAAGAGGAGGCGGCAAAAAACACATAATAATGACAGTACAGTACAAAAACGGTTGTTTTAATATGAAATGTTGCTTGATAGTAGTAGTTATAATTAAATGCTGAACATTAATAATCACTTAAAGTGTTTTATAAAAACAGACGTTCATTTCCACACATGTCCTCACGTGACTGTGTGTTTTTAAAAACATTAATAAATGACCTTTTGTGAAACCTCGAGTCATTCTGTTGCTCTCCCTCCATCATGCGTGACTTCCTGTCCGGAGGAGACATTAAGCTGCTGGACAGGCGGCTGGCGGTCACCTCCTTCCTGCCTGTTGATCATTTTCAGCTCCGTCTAATCTCTTTGTTGTTCTTTTGTTTCGCTCGTTAGTGGCCGCGGCTCGTTAGGCTGAGGGGTTTGTGTGACTCGGCCCTGCTGAGCTTCAGACCGAAAGGACGACAAGATGGACGATTGTCTCCAGCTGCTCACATGTCGTCCTCCTTCGTTTCCCTCGGTGTCGAGCAGTTTTCCTGCCTTCTGTCCTTCTGTACCTCCTTTCCTCGTGTCCTTCGTTTCTTTAATCGGGCCTTTCCATCTCTGATGACCTGTCCTTCCTTGTTTACACCCTCCTTTATGTTCTTCATCACTCCTGTCCTCCTCCCTTTCTTCCTTGTTTACTTACATTTCCTTCCTCTCACCTTCTGTCCTATCCTTCTTCCTTCCCGCTCTCCACTAGTCCTTCGTTGTTTCACATCTTTCTTATTTCCCCTTTTTCTCCTCCCTCTTTCTTTCACAGCTTCCTTCCATCCATGACTTTGCTTTTTCATGCCTCCTGTCCATCCTTGTTTACTACCTTGTGTTCTTCCTTCCTTGCATCCTTTACTTCTGCCCGTTAACTTTACTTCCTCGTCTTTAATCCTTTACTCCCCTAACTTTTCACTTATCACTCCTCTTATTTTATGTATTTATTCTTTTTTCTTCTTTAGAACTTCCTTCCTCAGTTTCATCCTTCCTTCCTTTTGTCTACTCCTTTTATCCTTGTCACTTATTTCCTCCTCCCTTTCAATCCTTCACCCTCGTAGCTCGCTCTCCCCTTGTCCTCGCCACTCGTCCGTCATGTCCTCGTAGCGCTCCTGGTGTTTAACCACGGCATGTAAATCAGATCCATCACACTTTTATTGTTTCCGTCTTAAATCCTAAATGAGCTGGAGACACCACGGAGGAAGATGAATGGCTCTGCCGGGCAGCGCTGTAACTTCCCAAGGTCGATGTTGTAGTTTCCCCACATCGGACGAGCTGCCAGCTGTAATGACGCCCGAGTCCATCCAGACAAAAAGAGCCGAAAATTAAACCAATGATCATTTTCACTTCAGCGGCTCCTGCCAGGAAATACTTCAGTGTTTCCAATTTGTCTGCTTTGATTTACTTCCTCATCTGTAGTTTATTATTCTGGACTTCGCGGTCATCGCCGTGAAACTGAAAACAGCGAGGATCCGGTGCTGTGAGTGTTGGAGGTTACCGAGGTCGGCTTTGACAGATTTCCAACACTCACGTTTAGATCTGACAGCAGCTGAACATTACAATAACAATTTAACCACGAGGGAATCCGTCAGGTGTTCAGAGCTCGAGTCTGCAGACGTCCGTGGAAGTTTCCTGGAAATGATCTGGCCCTGTAGCTTCTGCGTCACCGAGCCTCAGGAACCACGTGTTGTTTCTCCCTTCTCTACTTTTTTTAGTACCAGCTGTTTCTGTGTTATACTGTTTTCTAGTGCTCGACCGATGCAGATTCCTGCAGAGTACGATCGTATCTGCAGCCAGTAACGTGTTGGTTTAGATGGAAGTTTTATTAGTCAGTGACATAGAAACAAAAATTGGGTTCTGCTGTAGATTTCACAACGTGCAGACTTGCGGACTTGTTTTTTTTTCTCTGCACGTGCTCACAATAAAGCGTGTGTGTGCGCGTCCCGGCGTTTGATCCTATGGACGCTTATTTTCATTTCCAATCGCACGTTGACTGGCGGCTTTTCTCAGAGGTGTGTCGAGCAAGTCAGAGACCCTTTCCAATGTCCTTCAGAACCTTTAAAGTAAAAGCTCTCGATAAATGCAACATTGCTGCAAAAAACATTCTTGTGCTTTTCTTTTGTAGGCACAATCCCTTAAGAGGAAGTGATTATGTGAGTAGCTGTCATGACTGAGATCTATTTCAGCACCAGCCGCTATCAGTTCATTTTTTATTTTTTACTACTATGAAAGCAGATATTATTGCTGGCGGGCCGCCTATTACCACCCACTGCTCTACAGTATAACTATTAGGGCTGGGCAACAAAACAATAATGATAATTATCGCTATATAATTTACCTCCAATATAAGAATAAATATTTGGTTGGGTTGAATTCATTAGAATCACGAACAGATTAGCACTTAACGTATTAAAATATTATTTTTTTGGAGGAAAAGGGGCTAAAAAGGATTTACTAGTCCATATTTGTTGAAAAGATTTTTATCATAATAGTTTTGAATGTTCTGCCTCAGATGAAGCGATCTGCTGTTTGGCCTCATGTGTTTGTGACGTTCTGACCATAAAGAAAAGTTAAACCACACGATTAACCATCTGGTTTCTTCAGTTTTCACTCAGAATCAGCCTTTAAACTTGAGAGAAGTAACGAGTAAGTAAGTAAATAAGCTTTTCTGTTGTTATAGATGTTGTCGTATAAACTAGAGACGGATTCGAGGAGCTTCAGTGTTTCTGTTGAAAGAACATTTTACTGTTGAGCTCAGAGAAAAGACAAAGCTGCTGTACAAAGATCCCGCGCGTCATTAAAGTAGTCTGAATATCCAACATGTTCTCACTCCAGGGCTTCAACATCTGTATTTGATGCACAAGGTCCGTGTGAAACGCCCTCTGAGGATGTGGTTAACGTTTAGGGACCAGAACTACTTGCCGACTCCGGGTTAATCCGATGATGGGTGTGTGGTGGAAATGTGTTGAGAAACCGGTCCGGTCCAGCTGGTTCGGACCGTTGGGGTCCAGTCTGCAGACTCGTTTGTGACCTGTTGCAGTCTGAACGTGTATCCTCCCCAGTTGGTTTTTATGTTGTTGTTTTTTTTACGCCGCTACCTTGAGGTTTGTTTTGATCTCATCTGCACTAATTTATCTGTTTTTCTCTTATTTTCTTAGCGTCCCTCCAGATGTTGTTGAGGTTTCTGTGGTTTAACTTTGTGTTTGGTTTGTTGTTGTTTGTCTTTATAAAGCCCTCGGAGGCCTTTTGTGTCTCGACTGCACATATTTGTTGTTTTTATTATCTTCTGTCTTCGCTATTGTTTTCATTTTTCACCGTGGATGAACTGAATTAAACTAAAGTGTGTGTGTGTGTGTGTGTGTGTTTTGCAGGACCTATGCACTGCGGCGGGTGCGTGATGCCTTCAGGGACAACGGGAAAGTAGAGGATCCAAAAACTATAGCGAGACTGATGGCGGAGGGACAGGAGACACTGGCACTGATCCAGAGACAGGTGAGACACACACACACACACACACTCCCTCAGGTTGACTAGTATGCAGATGAACACCTGTCTGCTGACTGACCACCTGTCGCACGCACACACACACAAACACACGTCCTCGTTAACGTGGCAACTCCGGGTTAATCACCTCACTGTTGGTCACTTTGTTCCCATAATGCATCAGCAGCGTCTCAGCCAATCCCAGCCGAGGGTTCTCAGTCTCCCTGTCTGCCTGTTACTTACTGCCTTTCATCTGCGCGCGCGCGCGCACACACACACACACACACACACACACACACATTCACACACACACTCTGTTGCCCGTCAGAGCTTTTGCTGCATTCATAATTTTACAGATGAATTTCACGTTGTAGAGACTCGCGCTCTACACTTTAATGATGTCATTTCCACGCTGCTGACGACGTCTGCGAGCCGGAGACAGAGGACTGTTACTGTTGAACGCTAAAAGTAGTATAAATAACTTAAAAGTCCAAGTCAGGAGGTGTTTGGGGTGGACGAGTGGGTCGGAAACCAGACGGTCAACCCGGAGGCTGCTGTTCATTTCCTCTGTGAAACAAAAAATCAGTACTGATTGTTTTTAGCTGTGTTACGTAAGTAACGCTTAACTTACGTGTAACTTAAGTCACCGGTTCTCAAACGTCAAGGCCCCCTAAACCCACACAAATTAGACCACAGACAAGATTTGATAAGGTTTTTTTCCCAGGGTCCCCGTCTTTTAGATCTTTTATTACAGAAAGTGAAGGAAACCTCTGACCAATAAAGTCAAACCATCATGGAATTAAAATAAATTAAATTCATAGTTTTCAGTCGCGTGACATGAGCGGTGACCTGTGGGGGGGCAAAACAACAGAGGCTCACACCGCCACTCTCCCGCAGAGACGCCGCAACAGCAGTCAGATTTTATTTGGATCAGCTTCCAACTCAAGAAAAAGAAAGATATGAACACAAACTGCAAGTGTTGGGCAAATCTGATCCGTATAACGTTACAGCGCCAAAAACCTCCGCTCGACTGCGGTAATATTTACGTTCACCTTGTGGGGAATCCCTCGCCTCACACAGCCGGGTTGGCGGGCAGCGGAAAATAACGTCCAAGGGAGCGTTTTCCTTGGACTGTGACGAGACGTGAAAACTATGAATACTATCACTAATGTCTACCTAGGTCCAGGGGCGGTCTGCCTCGAGTGACTCACAGAAGACGGTTTTATTGTCTCAGGGCAGCAGAACAGCAGAGACGGCGCTGTAATGTACAAAAGCATGAAAATAAAAACGGAGCTCTTTAAATAATAAAAGGAAATAAAACTTTGGCTCAGTGCTTCTTCAAGTTGAGGAGTATGAACTTGACCAAATGTCGTCTTAATTTGAAGCACAACCACACGTTGCGTATTTATTGTTGCTAACTTGGACGAGGCTGAAGTCTACGCATCGCCTGTGGACCAACAACGAATTCTCTCCGCCTGCAGACGTGAAATGTGGCTTTAAATGTGTGCAGTTGATGTCTGAGAGGCTGCGGCGTCCGCCGTGTTATCCGCTCTGCATCTCGCCCACACTGACTCACGGATTAAATGCATCAGACGAGGAATATGCACCTCGTTACAACTCTGCTGCGATACTACAGGCTTCTGGGAAAATCCATATCACAGGCATGCTTCATGGGGAAGAGGCTGCTTGTGTTTGCTGCTCTCTGGCTTCAGGTTTCCTCCCCAGCGTACAGATCTATACAGTGAGCTATAGGAGAGGTGGGGGAGGCGGAGGCAGTTTGGTGCGCTGTAAATAAAACATCTTGCATCCAGTGACGCTGAGGAATAAACAAACACTTGAAACAGACACACACACTCACTGAGGGTCTGTCGGTGAAGCAAAAGTAGAGATCAGTGAGGAGCAAGAAACGTCGGTACAGAACAGCCGGACGGTTTAAGGTCATTTAGTATCTCTGGTACGTAGTCGGACAGTTTAATGTCCCGCTCAGCACGAACGCTGTTTGCGTTTGAGATGCTTCTTTATTAAAAATATTTGTCTTATCAGCCTTAAAAATCCAAACCCGACTGGCTCTAGTTTTTTACAGTACGGTGTTACAAGTGATAAAGTCAGAGTGGATCTGAGGCTGTGATAATATTTTATATCAAAAATAACCAGAGGTTTGCAGACATCCATCGGTGGAAAGGGTCTGTTTGTCTTATGAAGTTGCGAATTCCTGAAGGATCATAGTTTGGTTTCAGGTCGAGGCGCTGGCGATCATGGTGTCTTTGTTCAGAGGCTCAGGGCCGTCCCGCTGTCCAGTCGTCAGGCGCTCTCGCCGACCTTCTGAGCGCTTTATGCTGCGGATTCCAACATACCAGAAAGGAAGATACTAGTGAAATCCCATGATTCTCAATACCCAATTCAAGACCGCAGGAAAAAAAACAAAACAATAAATCCCATCATGTACTTAAAGAAAAACTTTACAAAGAACAAAGCTGTGAGAGGACGTCCAGGACAGATGGGAGGTGGTTTGATGTTTGATGCTGTTGACATTAAAATTACTACCATGCAATGTGCATATTTGACTTTTCCTTACAAGCTCTCAGGTGTGAAATGTTTAAGGATGGTCTCTATATTATCTATATTTGCAGTGGTTTCAGGTTTTTGTTGTAAAACATAAGCGGTTATTGATGATTGAAAAGGATTCTATCGTAAAGACGGTCCCTGACTCCTCCTACTGTAACAGGAGCGTTGGACAGACATTCAGTTCTTTGAGCTGTAAAACTGCATCGTCATCTTTGGGGATTTTCAGGTGATCAAGTGTCCTAAATTAGCCCTCTGACAGATCCCCAAACTGTGAGAAACCGAGGCTTTGACACAGAGCTGTCGGAGCCGCTAAAACCATAAAATTTTAAAAATAATCCGATTTCCAAACACGACTTGTTACTGAAGTATCGGTTCTCGTGACGTTCCTTCTTGGACTTGATGCACCGAATGAAAATGGCAAAGAAATAGCACTTTCAGTGCTCGGCCTAATAAGTCAAAAGACGGAATAAATTTGGCCGATCAATTATGTTGTCCGGTTTGCAGACGCTGTTCTGCTGAAGTGTCTCCCAGCACATCTGCTCCATCTGTGGCCGATTTCTTAGAAAAGAACCGCTTTGAGTGTTTTTGTCACTCGTCTGTGAGAAGCTGATTAAGCTAGCCGCACCTACATTTGGAGTGCACATATATTCAGGCCTTTACGGTAAGTGAAAGGGCCCAGAGCGAGCTGACAGGCAGGTTAGAGACTTTATCCTGTCAGTTTATCTCTTTAGTATGAAGAGAAGCTGTGAAGTCTTCATGTTACGCCGGACGACATTATTTATCAAACCGGGTCGGACTGGATGGATTTAGCACGAGGAGGAAACACACGTGACAATGTCCGGTTTTCAAAATAAGGCGTCTGTACAGGATGGAAATAAGATTAACTGGATTATATTCACAGAAAGTATAAAGTAAATTACATGTGTCCATTAAAAGAAAATGGACACATGTAATTTACTTTACCGGCCCCTCTCGGGCCCCGGACCCCCCACCGTAGTCTCTCCACATCCTGAGGAAAAAGCTCATTTTGACTATTTAATTTATGCAGTGGTGAAAAAAAGGCAAAACAAATGGGAAAAAATGTGAATGTACTTGTTTGTCTTTGGCAAATTTTTTGGCTTCAGCTAAGAATTACCCAGAGTTCATAGCATTGAGACGTTAAGCCTGATAGTATGATACTGATAAAGCCTTAGGAGACGTCCTGGCGACTGACGTCAGTGGCTACGGGGTTTAGCTCCCTCGTCAGCGTGTCCGCCTCCCGTACCGGAGGTCGCGTTCTCGTGACCAGTCGCATGTTGTCTTTTTAATCTTCTTCTCAGCTTCGTTTGTTGACTCCATCTTCTCAGCGCTACTGCGGGACCCGCACTATATTTTTTTTAACCGCCCGCAGTTAAAACCGCCTGCTCTCGCGCGATTTGTGTTGGGCCCCGCGGGATCCCAAAGCAGCTCTCTAGACTGGGAGTCGCCTCCTGGTCGATGACCTTTGACCTTTTCTAGTGTTGCTTCCCTCACAGGGGTCTCTATCTCCCCACAAAACACGACTGCTGTGGAAATCAGCTTCTTAGTTCTCATCTGATAAACTGGACCAAACGGACCAGATGTGGATCCCGCGTCACAGCTGCCTTCGTCTTTTATCTCCGTTCTTTGTGCATGAATTTATCTGCCGCGAGTGTGTTTCCATCTCTACGGGCTTAAAAAGTTTATTCTTAAGTGTGTGTTTAAGTGGATATTTCTGTGTGTGTCTTTGTAAGTTAGTTGGGGAGTAAAGATGATGGATTGCAGCTGCAGAGCCGCCTCTGTTTGAAGAGGAGAAACTAAACCACCATGTTCTGTTTAATGAGAGAGTCTGTGAGTGAGTGAGTGTTTTGTTTAAGTGAGTTTAAGAGAGTTTAAGACAGGGTTGCAATGGGAGAATGAGGGGAAAGAATTATTAAAAGAAGGGGGAAGAGAACGTAATAATGTCAGTGACGGAGTGAAAGAGGAGGAGCAGGAAACAAAGAGCTGGATTTTTGTCCGATGGATAGATGCGACTGCTCTCGGCGTGTTTACGGAGCGTGTCCCACTGCAGCTGGGTTTACTCTCCGCACACACTCACACACAGGAGTGTGTGTGTGTGTGTGTGTGTGTGTGTTGGTGGCGGCCTCTGAAGAGCCATTTCTCAACGATTACTGCTGCTTAATGTCACCGCGGTGTCACACAGCCTTCGGCCGTTTTGGCTCAATTGAGATTAAATGCCACATCGGGCAGTGAGTTATAGCTTCCAGGTCGGGGGTGGGGGGGGGTGGGGGGGCCGGCCCCTGTTATGGCTCTCGGGGGCCGGACAGAATCTCAGTCAGTCCGGCCTCCGAGCTCATTAAACACTGAGGATCTGTGCCGGCGGCTCGCAGCGCGGCGGGATGTACCTGCAGGTCAGTTTGGATGTAAATCCCTTATGTGGGCACTTT